GTCTTGTACTCTACAAAACCCCTGTGGAAGTTTGGATAAAAGGGACTCAATTTTTTTTGGCCAAAAATGCCAGCTATGTCCCTTTTCTGCAAAGTTTTGCATCGTACTATCTGCTCTCAGTATTTTGAACTATACACTTGTGAGTAGAATGTAAGAATTTTTTGTTCAACACAGGTGGTAATAGTGCCTATTTGGAAAAAGGGTGACGAAAAGGGTGTTGTTATGGAAGCTGTAGCTTCAGTTCAGAACACGCTCAAAGAAGCAGGCATTAGAGTCAAAGTGGATGACTCAGAGCTGAGGACACCTGGATGGAAGTTTAACTTTTACGAAATGAAAGTAACCACTTTTGCACTTCTACTGGAATTCCAGTTCAGTTATTTTCCCCTTCTACTTTTCCATAGGCTTGTGCTTGACATTTCTTCTATTGTTTTGACAGGGAGTTCCCATAAGGATTGAACTTGGTCCCCGCGATGTAAAAAACAGGAGTGTTGTGCTTTCTAGGCGAGATGTCCCTGGAAAGCAAGGAAAGGAGTTTGGAATATCTATGGAACCATCAATATTGGTGGATCATATAAAAGACCGTCTAGAGGAAATTCAGGCATCTCTTCTACAGAAGGCCATCACATTTCGTGATAGGTACTTATGATCCAGAATATATTTTTTATGAACTCATAACTTGTCTTCAAGAAGTGTTTATTGCTACTTTCTTATGCCCGTTTTGTTCTGTGCTCTTATGCCATCCTTTCCCCATAGTGATAATAACTGTTCTAGTGTGTACCTGTGTTAGGTTTATATGTACTTGTCGTCGGACACATGGATTCTTTTGTGGGTTCTCTTCATTGCATGATCCAGATTTTTTTTATCAGAACTAATAACCTTTTCCCTCGTTGCAGTAATATAGTTGATGTCAACTCATATGGAGAACTGAAGGAAGTCATTTCCGAGGGTAAATGGGCAAGAGGTCCATGGTCAGCTAGGTAGGTCGTGTTTGAATGGACGGCTTTTATCCTTGTGGGTCAACCATGTTTTTTTTATTTGACGATTTGATTGATTTGTGGTAAACTTCAGCGATGCGGATGAGCTGAAGGTGAAAGAAGAGACCAGTGCGACCATCAGGTGCTTTCCCTTTGATCAGCCGGAGGGTGCGAAAAAATGTTTCATGACTGGCAATCCAGCCGATGAAGTTGCTATTTTTGCAAAGTCATATTAGGCCATCTTTGTGCAACCAGAGATCAGAATATTTTTATTACAGATTCTTTTCTCTTTTCCACAGTTTCTCTGTGGTCTTTACTGACCATGAACGAAGAATTTAAAGGGTTTTTTCCGTATAAATCCACAATCCGCAAGATATATAAAAAATATTTGACGCGGCGCAAGATTTTAATTCAGTCATGACAGCACGGTGCCAGTGTATAACAAAGTCCTTTTGTCAAGTTTGTCTTATTTTGCATATAAATATCCTCTTCCTTCCCTAATTAATATTAAAGGGAGGATTGTTTCTTCAGTATTTTTCGTTCACGGTGGACCCACATAAGGCTTTGTACGTCGCAGCATTTTCTACTTTTTGTACGTCGCAGCATTTTCTACTTCTCTTGATTTGTTTTTATCAAAAAAAAATTCACAGGACGCATAGAGCCGCAATGGGCCGGCCCATTAGCGTACAAAGAGCCCACGCTAAAAGAATTTCCAAGAAAAAATATTGCAACGCAAGGAATCAAACCCTGCCGCTCATGCTAGAGCACTCAAATGCTTATCAATAGACTAAACAAGACTATTTGTTTTATTAGCACCACGAAATTTTAAATTACGTACACAGTGATGCCAGATACTGAGACGAAAATATATTTTTCAAAGTGAATATATTTTAGAATGCAAAAATTTGGCAAAGTTATTACTAAAAAATTTAAAGTCGCACATTTTTTAAAGAAAAATATTTGTCTTTTTATTTTTTGAAACTTGAGTATTTTTTAAAATACGGACAAATTTTTAAAACTAGGAGGTATTGTTGTGATTATTTCTCGAATTTAGAAACATTTTTAAAACACAAACACTTTTTAAACTTTAAAATTGGAAAGGCAAACATTTTTGTAAACATGTTTTTTTTAAATGGGAGGTACTGTAGCTAAATTGTTTTAATCTATACATATATTAATAAAACTTGATGAATATTTGAAATATGCCCACATGATGCTTTGTTTCACTTCATTTTATTAAACTAGGGATACGAAAGGAATCTTTTTTCTTTCACGTCTTCACGTTCAACGAGTCTCACTCGGCCTAATGACTCCCGTCAAAATGCATGAAGAGTCCAGCTAAGATTTCATGGTATATCTGACAGAAACTACCCAATTTACATGATGACACGGACATATATTATGTGCAGTGCTTTTCCCTATTATATTAGCCAAATGATAAAAACAAATTGTGTTCAACGCTTTTGATCTTCATCGGACATGAAGGCGGCTCAACAATCCAACTATTGGACCTTGCCAACCTTGGTTAATGACAGCTGGTACCGCGACCACCGACGACAAGGACGACAAAGACGACAAGCGGAAACATGTGTCTGGTGTTATATTGAAATGGAGGATGTGGACCTGAGAATGAGGTATTAGTCGTGTTTATTATGTTATATGATAATGAGGGTGAGGTCTTTAGCCATGCTCAATAGGTAAAGGCATGTAAGGGTTGTTTTCTCCCGTTGCAACGCACGGGCATGTTTTCTAGTCTCCAAAAGTACGGTTTGTTGTAATTTTCCTCTTACGGGCTCTTGAGATAAGTTGGTAATAATGAGCTCATATAAAATGGAAAACGATGTATGGGTTGGCCATAGTACTAGAATCAAGATGATACCATTTCTTATTTGACTAGTCACAATGGGGAGTAACTTAGACTAGTAACATCACATTTTACTAAGCTATGTTACTATCTCCATAGTGGGTAGTAACATATGTGTGTTGTCATATTATGGTTCATTTATTAGCCTATAGACTCATATTGTCTTGGTATGTGTGATGTTACAGTAACTAGCTAAGTTACCACCATCACCTCTCTCATCATTAAATATGTGTCACATAAGCAAAATTATCTTGAAAAGTGTGATATTACTAGTGATGTTACTCCCACTATGGCCGGTCTTAGTAATTATGTACGTGCAATGCACGTATTAGGTAGGATATTAGTGGCACGTTATATTAGGTAAGGCATATTTGTGGCACATTGATATTTGGTAAGATATTAATTACTTTCTTCATGGAAATGGTAAGATATTAATTACATGGTAGATTTCATGGGATAGCGTTGAGTCTAAACATGTTTATAACCAATGGCAATGGTGGGTAATTAAAGCGTTAAACGTGTTTGGTGCTTAATATTGGAGCGATTTGAACCACTAGATTACATGATTTGACGGTTGAGATGATTTAGATCTGCCTCTTTGGATCTTTTTATATTGGTATAGACTAGAAAACATTCCCGTGCATTGCAATGGGAGAAAACAGCCCTTACATGCGTTTACCCATTGAGCATGGCTAAAGACCTCACCCTCATTATCATAACATAATAAACACGACTAATACCTCATTCTCAGGTCCACATCCTCCATTTCAATATAACACCAGACACATGTTTTCGCTTGTCGTCTTTGTTGTCCTCGTCGTCGGTGGTCGCAGCACCAGCTGTCACTAACCAAGGTTGGCAAGGTCCAATAGTTGGATTGTTGAGCCGCCTTCGTGTCCGATGAAGATCAAAAGCGTTGAACACAATTTGTTTCTATCATTTGGCTAATATAATAGGAAAAAGCACTGCACATAATATATGTCCGTGTTATCATGTAAATTGAGTAGTTTTTGTCAGATAGACCATGAAACCTTAGCTGGACTCCTCATGCATTTGACGGGGGTCATCAGACCGAGCGAGACTCATTGTACGTGAAGACGCGAATCGTATCCCTAGTTTAATAAAATAAAGTGAAACAAAGCATCATGTGGGCATATTTCAAATATTCGCCAAGTTTTATTAATATATGTATAGATTAAAACAATTTAGCTACATTACCTCCCATTTAAGAAAAGATGTTTACAAAAATGTTTGCCTTTTCAAATTTAAAGTTCAAAAAATATTTTTGTTTTAAAAATGTTTCTAAATTCGAGAAATAATCACAACAATACCTCCTAGTTTAAAATTTGTCTGTATTTTAGAAAATACTCAGGTTTCAAAAAAAAGATAAATATTTTTCTTTAAAAATATGCGACTTTAAATTTTTTATTAATAACTTTGCCAAATTTTTGCATTCTAAAATATACTCACTTTGAAAAATATATTTTCCTCTCAGTATCTGGCGCCACTATACGTACAAAGCCTAGGACGTAAATTATGTGGGTCCATCGTGCACGAAAAATACTGGAGAAACAATCCTCCCTTTAATATATTGGTATAGATAGATATAGATATTAATTCCCTCCATTTTAGAACGCTCTTATATTACGGGACAGAGAGGGTACATGGTAATGAAATTTTATTCTTCAAGATATGTCAGACTTGTATGATAAGTCGAAAACATTATATATTTGTGAACAGAGGGAGTAGAAGGCAGCCGCCGGAAGTTGTGACATATGGGTTGAACACCGGTATTAGTAACTCCACGCAGGGTGGAAGTACTGCGTCTTGCTGAACTCTGCCTGCCGGGAGATGATGAGCTCTTTCGGCAGGGCGACGCCCAGGAGAGCAATGCCGATCCAGTTAGAAGGAAACACTCCTGACTTTCTTATTCCTCCATCTTGTAACAGACATGATCATCGTTTAATAAAGGTTGCCAAAGTTAAAATAAAAAAGCAGGGCAAAAAATGAAAGCCAGGAGAAGCTTTGAACTTTATTCGACACAAGGAACCTACAGTTAACAGAAACTGACTGTACACTTGAATGTACATTGCAACGGGAGGGTGAGCCTAAACAAGATGACTAACTCTTCCGGGATTGAGGCCAGGCCGCAGCAGCTCATCCTAGACCTGTGGCTTCATGATCCTCACGGTGGTGTAGAAACGCTTGAAGTCCTTCATCGCTTGTTCCTCAATCTGGATCGAGCGGATGGAGGACGGGGTGTCAGTCTCTGGCTTAAACCAGCGGTTGGGAACGTTGTCCTTCACGCCAACAACCTCTGGCGCTGCGCCCAGGGATGGTATGGCAAAGCCTGATGTCCGGGTTTTCGGACTGTGGGAGACAACGCCGTGGTGCCGTTTCTCCTGCTCAAAAGTAAGTTGGTTTCAATCAGAGGCTGCACTTTGTTATATTGGTGTAAGAAAATACGTATCAATTTAACATTTGGTAACATGAAGTCAACCTGCTGCATCTGTATGTCCCTGAGTGAAGGCCGTGATAGGTTGGGTGAGGTAGCTGAAGATGACCAAGGAGGTGTGCTCTTATCCCCTTCGTGAGCAGGAACAGCACGAGCAGGTGTAACAGATATTGGACTTGAACACGCATCAGGCATAAATGAAGAAAGCCGCAAAAGCCCAGCACTGTCAGGTGAATCCTCATGGCGGTCTTTTGCTTTCGTCGTCACCAGCTCGTTCGTTTTCGACCTCTGCTCGCTTTGAATATCACGAAGGGAAGCAGGTCCCTTCGTTATCTTAGCTCCACCCCAGGCAGGTCCTTCTTGCTTTGGTGTCACAGGCACAGCAGGAGTAGGCAAGCTTAGCTTTGAGGTGTCATCAAGAGCACCACTCAAAAACAATGACAAGCCACCTTTCTTGTTCTTCTTCTTTGATGAAGTTGGCCGGGAAGCTTTGTTCCCTAATGGATAAAAGATGGCTTTTGTGTTACTCGAAGTGCCATCATCAGATGGTTTGACTGGTTCCTGCTTGAATATATAAATTTATTAATACTGTTGCTTCCTTTAACATAATAGATAAATAAAAGAACACATCCATAATGAACAAAACGATGATTAAAGCAAAGAAACTATAAAGAAATGCCTACATAAATAGGATCGATTTATGTTTGTGACATGTTTTACCCCATTTAAGAAAAAATCCTCAATTTTACTCCATGTAATAATCATTTGTCAGTTTTTACCCCTTCTGATTTTTGATGGCGTCATGACCATGGTCCAGCCGCAGTGAGAGGGAAGGGTACGACCCGTCAATCATGAAGTCTGGCGTCGGGACCTTGAGGTTCTCCAGCAGCAAAGGCAAGTCCCCGATGCCACTCCGCCGGCACCTGTGATACCCACCGTCCGACAAGCCGGTGAACAGGTTCATGGGCCTGGTGACCTCAAAGTAGGCGGCGTTCTTGCAGACAACACTCAGGTCAGATCACCAGGATGTTGCCCATAATCAGAGCCAGGCCGCCTCACGAGCTCCGTGCCGTGGGAGCGGCGACATCGATGCAATGGAGGCTGGGGATGGAGACAAGGCACAGCCGGTCATGCCTGCGTTGTAGAGGACGGAACCACAGTCAAGCCGGCGACACCGTCCGTAAAGCCACTCTGAGGTGGCGCCGAGGACGGAGATACGGCCACACCACCAGGGAGCTGCGGGAGGCGGCACTCAGCCTCCGCTCACGATGGGGAGTAGGACACGCAGTGGACTACGACGCGGAGTCGCCACCAGATGCCACCACACTTCTCACCACCAGAGGCCGCCATCGTAGGCTACCACGTCCTGGATCAAGTGCATCTGCCTCCAAAGGGGGTCGAATCGACTGCAACAGCTGCCGAAGCTGGTGATCTGGGCAGATAGGAGGGGGAGCCAGACCTCTCCAGATCTGGGTGGTGGCCTCCGCTCTGCTCCCATGCACTGAACATGGCCTTAGTAGCCTCGCCTCACTGCGCGTGTTGTGGTGTTGTGGCCGGACAGGAACCGCCTTTTCAGCGTCTCCATCCTGTAGGCCCTCACACCGCTTTCCGGCCAACGCCTTTGTGGGTAAACCTCCAGCGGAAGCCCCTTCTTCCCGTCCCCATCGCCAGCACCCGGGATGAGCCCGAGTGCAACGTGCCTGGGAACAACAAGAAGGGCAAGCTCTCTGGCACGGCGTCGCTGGCATTGTCGTGAGAGTTGTCGTCTTTGCACTGCTCCAGCTGGCCGACATCGTGTTTTACTACAACAGGTCCCGGCGGCAGCAACGCGGCACGCGCGAAGGACCAAAGGGCACAGCTGTGATGGCGGCTCAAGAAAGAGGTGCTCCGCCGGCATCCAGCGATGATGGCGCCGCAGGCATGGCATCCTTGCCAAAGCACTGGCACACCCGGGTTATCGGCGGTGGGCACTGGGCGTGAGCCAAACCGATAGATGTTTGTGGGGAAGGGCGCGAGGTACAGCGTGGAGGACCTCGTGTTCGTGCATGTGTTAGTGTGGTTGAACAAAACCAAAACAAACCGGACCTAAGAAAACCGGTTGGCCAGATTAATCAGTCTATGTGGCATCCAAGTCAGCGCTGAAATGTGAAGCGACGAGAATTTCTGTTAGATGGGGTATAATCTGTCACAAATCTGAAACTTAGGGGTAAAAATTGGAATTATAACTCTTAAAAGAAAGAAACAAGATATTCTGCCTTATCAAATACTTAGCCTCCCATGGAAGCAACACTCAGAACAGGTACCAGAAGAATAAAGTTTCGCATGGCCTCTCACCACTAGGTATCAAGAAAAGCAAAGGTGCAAAACTTAGTCAAACAAACCCACGAAGACACGGCCAACAACAACAACAACAACAAAGCCTTTAGTCCCAAGCAAGTTGGGGTAGGCTAGAGGTGAAACCCATAAGATCTCGCAACCAACTCATGGCTCTGGCACATGGATAGCAAGCTTCCATGCACCCCTGTCCATAGCTAGCTCTTCGGTGATACCCCAATCCTTCAGGTCTCTCTTAACGGACTCCTCCCATGTCAAATTCGGTCTACCCCGCCCTCTCTTGACATTCTCCGCACGCTTTAGCCATCCGCTATGCACTGGAGCTTCTGGAGGCCTGCGCTGGATATGCCCTAACCATCTCAGACGATGTTGGCTTCTCTTCAATTGGTGCTACCCCAACTCTATCTCGTATATCATCATTCCGGACTCGATCCTTCCTCGTGTGGCCACACATCCATCTCAACATACGCATCTCCGCCACACCTAACTGTTGAACATGTCGCCTTTTAGTCGGCCAACACTCAGCGCCATACAACATTGCGGGTCGAACCGCCGTCCTGTAGAACTTGCCTTTTAGCTTTTGTGGCACTCTCTTGTCACAGAGAATGCCAGAAGCTTGGCGCCACTTCATCCATCCGGCTTTGATCCGATGGTTCACATCTTCATCAATACCCCCATCCTCCTGCAGCATTGACCCCAAATACCGAAAGGTGTCCTTCCGAGGTACCACCTGACCATCAAGGCTAACCTCCTCCTCCTCACACCTAGTAGTACTGAAACCGCACATCATGTACTCGGTTTTAGTCCTACTAAGCCTAAACCCTTTCGATTCCAAGGTTTGTCTCCATAACTCTAACTTCCTATTTACCCCCGCCCGACTATCGTCAACTAGCACCACATCATCCGCAAAGAGCATACACCATGGGATATCTCCTTGTATATCCCTTGTGACCTCATCCATCACCAATGCAAAAAGATAAGGGCTCAAAGCTGACCCCTGATGCAGTCCTATCTTAATCGGGGAGTCATCAGTGTCGACATCATCCGCAAAGAGCATACACCACGAAGACACGGCCAAGCATACATAAAAAAACTGCTAGTAGCTAGGGTCACGGATAAACACGACCAGTCCAAAATTATACAACTGGTCACCAGTAAGGCCGGTGCAGCCAGATTTTTTCCAAAACCCGAAGTTGGAGGTTGTTGGAATTTTCTCATTTTTGTGGACTTGTTACAAAATGATATAGAGAAGAACTAAATATTGAATTATAGATGAAAGTGTAGGTGACACTTTCACAGAAATCAAAATTTCAAATGTAGGACAGCAATCCTTTTATTTTCAACCGTATGGTCTTTAAGATAGGTAGAAGATTTTTCACTGGCTAGGAATACAGGCATGAGACTGAAGACCAACACGGAAAGAACCAAAGAAAATGAACCTTATTGGGATCATAGGATAGAAGAGCGCAAACCTTTTCTGAAGAGCCATGGGTTGGTAACACTTCTGGAAGCTCCTTATTGTGGTTTTGCTCCTTGTCCTCATGCTTTATAGAGGTAATATCAGATTGTGCTGCCTGCTTGATTTTCTTCTTCTGTTTCTTAGAACCCTCAGATTTTTTGTTTGGCACATAAACTGAAGGTCTTGAAAATGCTTCTGTTGGAAAGCCAAGCTCTGCAAGTTCACTTTCAAGGGAAGCCCTAGACTCGAGCTTTGCTAGCTGTTGATCATCAAGCTGATGACCATCCAGTTGTTTAGCCTCGAGCATCTCAATCTGCTGCAGTTTCTTGCGAATTGCCCTGATCTGTTTGGAGACAAATTGCTCAGCATTGCTTTCTTTCTGAAGGAAGTTACCATAACCTGACATTCCATACAACTTTGATGCAGGCTTCTGATTGTCCCTGAGCCTAGGGAATCCTCCTGCATTATCTCCCTCTGCATCGCTATCAATGACAGCAGGATAAGTAGCTGTCATTGTGGGAAGACGGCGGTGACTCCAGGGCTCCGAGGATTTTTCATCCAGCAATCTCTCTAAATTTGCAAGAATTTCAGGAGAAGCATTCATAATTGAAGGAGCTGCCACTGTGAAGATGTAATCAAGGTTGCGAATAGCTGTATCCTGCATCGCATTGCACAGCAGAGTACCAGAAATCACTATATGAAAATTAATTAGGCATGGACAAAGGATGAATGCATATCAGTATGTGGTAACAACTGTATAATGCATGTAAGCTGCAGCACACTGATGTATTACCTCACAGTGCTTCTTGAGCTCTTTGGCTTCCAAGGAATCAGCAACTTCAAGAAGTTGTATAGCATTCTTTGGCTCCATTATATGCTGAATTGCAACTTTCTCACAGAGGCTCTTCAGACTGGGTATGCCTTTGCTCATTTCATTGCTGGTAACAGATAGATCAGTTTCAGGCTGGACATCAGTAAACAATATGTCTTCATCCAACTCTTCCATCACACCACTCCATTCTGATGAGGGCTTTTTGCTTTGGAATTTGGGTTTGGGTGGATACTCGGGATGGTAAATACTAGAAAGCACAAGCATATGTGTTTCACCAACACAAACTGATGATGCTCGCTTAACACCATTCACTCGAGTAAATACTGGAGTTTCATCCTTACGTTTCTTTGCATCACACATGAAAACATCACCAGTTGATGTAGCCAGTGCAGTCCAGTACTTTCCAGCTGAGATGCTCACTACATTCCGTCCACACATAGAGAATATCTGTGCAGAAACAGTTTAAATGTAAGCATGAAACACATAACATAGCTTAAAAGATGACCTTGTGAGATGTAATAACCGAACCTGTTGACATCTTAAGTCCAGATCCGATGAATTCCAGTAACAAATAGCACCATCAGCTGTTAGAGCAGTACTGTGCATCACTCCAGCTGCCACAGAGATCACCTGAAGTCGCTCCATACGATGAAACTTCACATTTGCATTTCCACCCTTCTTAAGACATCTAGCTATTACAACACGGCGAGGGGTCACGAGGCGATGACCCCAAGTGAACACCTGCAAAAGTGGGTGACATCAGCAGGTCTGAGGTCTGTTAATTTTCTTGGTGTTATTCGAACCGATTTTAACTTACCTCGCCATCAGCCCCAAACACTAACGTATGATATTTTGCTGCAGATACACCTTTAAATACTTTTCCTTTCAAATACTCTACCATTCTTGGAATGCAATTGGATGCCGAGTTTGAAGTGCCATAGCCTAGCTGGCCCTCCTTATTGGAACCCCATGTGAACACTTCGCCAGTATCGGCAACTGCTGCTGAGTGCTTGTTTGCAGCGGCTACTGCAATTATCCTTTGCTTGAGTGAACTAACACGCCTTGGTGTTGGTTGGGTATCGACAGAAGGGTAACCAAGCTGACCCTCTGCATCGTCCATAGCATTTTGTTATAGGCCATAAGCACACTGTAAATTTTAGAAGTATGTTGCTGGAGACACATACACATTCACACATACCTCTGTTTGATCCCCAGGTAAACAATTCCCCAGCTGATGTAGCAATCACTGTGTGATGTTTCGCAGCAGCCACAACATTCACCTTTTTACGGCCTAATCCAACTGTCACTTGGCGAGGGGTAATCACAGCTGTCGTCTGGCCACTGCAATAAAATGGTAGTTGTAGCAACACAAAATAAATTTTACCAATAGCATGAGAAATGAGACTTTTAACACCGAAAGGCCCGAGACATTAGTGCTCAACTACTGTTGAAAAATGTTAGCGACTTTACGCTTCATTGGCACATTTGAATATACTAGTAAGGTACATGTGCATTGCATGTGGGAGCTTAGATAACCGAAGTACGAACGAATATCGACATACCACACTACATGTAAGTTTGGAGTCATATATGCATGACTTATATGATGTAGATTTAATTCTCGTAGTTCATCGCATTGGAAATCAAATTATAGCTACAAAATAATCGAAAGACTGCATGATATATACTACACAAAACTGATGTGAAATATATCCAGCACATTTATTTTTAACTATCTTGTACTGCAGTTTTGAGTAGTTAGTGTTGTATCTTCAAAGCCAAACAGACTTTATGAAGGTGGCATAGCCTTGAATTATAAAATCATAAAACAAAATTGAATGGCAATTTGTTTAGAAGAAATCACTTTGGGGAACTAAAGTACGGAAGGGTCTAAAACAAATGAGAAGTGCTTATAATTTGAAGTGAATCGTAGACCATCAGGTAAAAAGGAATGGTAACTCATTTAGAAGAAAAAAGTTAAGAGGGTTAAAGTATGGAAAATTCTAGAACAAATAAGTGCTTGTGTTTTGAGGTTTGTGCATTCTCTGCAAAGAACTTACCACAAAGTCATGTGGAGATAACCATTTTCAACCTTTCTACAAAAAGTGTTTTATTAGATACTGCATGACTGCTTACCTCTGAATATCCGGATGTCCAAGACGACCGCCTCGACCAAATCCCCAAGTGTATAATTCACCATCAGAACTGACTGCTACACTGTGGAACTTTGATGCAGCAACAGTTTTGATATATGACCCATGCAAGGCATCTACTTTGCAAGGTAGTTTTTGTATGTGGGCATTGCCAGTTCCCAGTTGATAGTTTGTTCCACTTCCCCAACTGAAGACTTCCGTTGCAACTAAAATGGAAAAAGGTAAGGAGGATTTGTAAGCGCATCCTAAAGAAATTTCCAGAAGGTCATAATCACACCAGTACCAAAGCACTGAACACAATTAGAGACAAATTAACTGTCTCCCGAAACAGAAGAGAGGCATGCTACCTGAATTGGGAGAATCCCCATTAGCCTGTGATACAGGGCCAGAGAGAAGATCAATAGGTGTACGACCCTTGGTGTCCTCCAAATTGAGGGATGCACCAAACTGTAGAAGAACACCAGCAATGCACAAGTGGCCAAAATGAAGTGCTCTGTGAAGGCTGCTCCAACCGGATTCTCCATCCTGCAAAAATGGAATTTGGTGGGAATTTACAAAAAAATAGTGTGATACTTAATAATGGACAAAAATTGCATTTAGCAAGTAAAGAGCAAACAGATTATATACTTCAAATTCACACCAATGTGGGCGTTTAAGGATATGTTTTTCTCAATGAAGAACATATTTTATGATTTGCCTTTGGTATCTGGATACAAGTTTTCCTCTGCCAATGCATATAATTGTAGAATGCCCAATAGCAACCCAGCAGTTCGATAAATGGAGGCATAGTGCTTTAATGAAAAGGAGACAATAAGAAAATTTATAAATGAAGACAAAGGTGGTGCATACCCTTGCATCTGGATTAGCACCAGCATCTAGGAGCCGCCTGACGATTGGAAGGTGATTTCTCCATGTTGCAAGGTGGAGGGCACCAAGGCCAAATGCATTTCTACCGTCAATGCTTCCATCGTTCTTTTTTATCAAGGCCAAAGCAGATTCCACTTCAGCTATTGACCCTTGTTTTGAAACAAGACACAAATCCTTCACAGAGCATCCAGTACAAGGTCTGCGCGTGCCAGCTTGCTTCGGTGCGCCTGGCGGAGATACTGAAGGCTCCATGGCACTTCTCAATTGCACAAGTATCTATGGGGTTATTGAGACAAATCAGTACTCCGTCACAACAATATCAGAAAATGACATTTGTTTAGTTTAAAATGTCATGGTACCTAGAAAGGCAGGTCCACTGCTGAACTGCTTGCATGCCACAGGTATTTTCCACAGCAGCAACACTATTTTGGTACCGTTTGACTAATCGGTAGTAAGTTAATCTTAATCCTAAAGAAAAAGTCTAGTATCGTTACAGTTTTATCTCTGCAAGGAGAACTGGCAGAAAGCTTGGATAATTATCATCTCCACTCTCTAAGACTGAGATATCCTAAACTAGCCAAGTAACATAGGACAGCATGGCACTAGATCTTCATCCTGAGCCCAATTATTTTATTAGAGTTCCATGAGGTTAGGATGCTATTCCATGTCCAAATGGGATGCTAGATAAAGAAGCATCCATAGAATAGAGATCAACCTGCATAGTAAAATGAATATAAATTAGTAGAAGGACATAATGCAGAAACTATCGACAGTAGATCAGTCAAATGATAAAATGGGCTAATTAAGATACAAGACGGGTTTAAAAATGGCATCGATTAGTAGAATAAATATTAGCAAACAGCCAAAATAATAGTGAGTGAGATTGCTAACTAACAATTCTAACCAATGTTTGATGAAAAAGAGGCCAGCATCAAAAAGGCATTTGCGTTAAAGTCTAGAGTGCAATAGCAGGACTACTTGGGCATATGTGAACTTATATATGTATTAGAGAAGTCAGCCGGCCAAAAAAACTTGGAAAATATGCAGCTAACACGATATAGAAAATGATCATCACATCATAGTAAAATTACAATCTAGCACATAGATTTCTCAACCTACAGGTGACCAGGTGGCCATTTTAGAGTTCCTCTGTCATATTTCGTATGGTAGAACACTAGAGCTACTTTTTGGCCATCGGCTTTTTTCTTAATCAAGTTGCAAACAAATATGTTACCAGGTTGTGCAATGATCTGATTTACCAAGCAATTGGATAGCATCTAATGATCTGATTTATCAAACAAAGCAACAGACTGTCAACTATTATGTGGCAGAGAACTTCTTTTTTTCAAGATAAGCATAGAAACCCCAAACTCAAAATTGAGCTTCTACTGAACTAGAAAAGGAAGATGCCAGTTTATACCTATAAGAGTATATTGATTTGGACTTCAGGTAGTAACAACGGTCCAGACAAAAAAATTGTATACACTGCACAAGCAATTAACAAAAATAATCTGTCTAACAGCCCGTAAGGTCTAGATCATATTTCAAGTAACTGGTTCGACACAATTAGCAAGTCTTAAGTAATGTTCGATCATTTTTTTGGAAGTAATATTGGAATGACCGGCTAAAATATATAAAACGGTGTAGCAATTGATCAACGGCAGAAAAACAAAACAAAAAAGTGATCCGCACAGAAAGGATATTCCAACCACGAGGAACAGCAGATGCTTTTGCGTTGCCTAAGGAGAGAGTCAAGCAAAAACTAACAGGAAACACACACAAAAGAAAGTAATAAGAGAAACATATAAACATTTTTGCGTGCAGATGAATATAAAACTGCACCAAACGTAGCGGAAGCCATCAAACTTCTTCCAAAAATACGTGATTTATTAGAGAGCTAGACGGGAATTCTCACTGGAAACAAATCAACAGCAATTACACCCGTACGAATCTAAAATGAAATTCATCCTTTCGTACAGAAACAATAGGAGTAACCGATCAAAAACCAAGCATTACCCCGCTGCAAATACTGGCGCACAAGTCGGATCAAACAACCGGAGCGGACCGGCATTGCGCCGAGCAACCGCCGGGGGCATCCTTGTCTACTCCCAACAAACGGATCTACGACCAGACGAAATCGCGCATAGCACCACAGAAACGAGATCCAACCCATGCCTCATACACGAGAATCCAGTGACGGAGAATGGAAATGGAAGAATCCACAACTGACCTTGGATTGGATTGGATTGGATTGGACTCCCCGTCAAGAACACATGCTGTCCTATGTCCTCTCTCTCTCTCTCCGGGAGGGCTGCGTTTATGTGGGAGGGAGGGAGGGAGGGGATCCCGGCGTGGAATATGCTCCGGTTAGTTCGGGCGCAGGAGGGGGAGGAACCGCCCTCTCTCGTTTCTCTCTCTTTGGTTTCCTGTCGTGCGTGGTCTCTCTCTCTCTCTGTGAGGTGGGGAGAGAGAGCGATGAGATAGAGATACGTGGTGATCTCAGGAGAAAAAGTGAGCCGTGAACGAGTTTGCCGGTTTTTAGAAAATTTCTAGCGGACTTTTAAAATCGCTGACCCGTAAAATAACGTTCAGTTTAGCCAAAAAGTGACCCGAACAAAAATCTTAAAAGCATCCAACCGTAAAAAAAAATTGAGAGACGCGATAAAATCCCCTCCAACCCGCGAAAACACAACTCCTCATTGGTGCCATGTATCCCGCGAAAGCGGTTAGTGAAAGGGATATTTCAGTGTGCGCGCTCTCCACATCTCCTCCCACGACCGCCCGCCACCGTCGCCATCACCTGCCGCCTGCGATTCCAGCCATTCCCGCCAGCGGAATCGTGTCGCCCGCCCCGGATCCGACGAGTCGAGCCACTACGACCCGTCGCCCCGGATCAACCGCCTCGAGTCGCTGCCCGCTCCGGATTCGCCGAGCCGCCACCAGTCGTTCCCCTTCCCAGATTCGTCGAGCCGCCACTGATAGCCGCCACCCCGGTGAGCTCCTTTCCTTCCCCTTGTAGCTCGGTCGTAGAAATTTTGTTGATGCAAGCTTAGATGCGGTTTTTTAGATGGATTTGAGCCCGTGCGAGCAATTTTTGCTCAAGGATTCATCCTCGTCCGACGACTCAGACGTGGAATCGATACTCGAGCGCCATCATCAGCAGATGGTCGTAGCGGTCCTGGCCGTGAAGGAGGCGGAGGATCGAAACCGCAAGAAACAGTGAGGTTCGACCATGGGTCGTCTTTGCATCCCTCACAACCGCCATTTCGAAAATATGATGTTGATGCAAGACTACTTCACGGACAATCCAACCTATCCGTTGCACCTCTTTCGGAGAAGGTATCGAATGCGCCGATCACTCTTCGAAAAAATTGTGCAAGCTTGTGATGCCAATTGCCGGTTTTTTACTCAAAGAAGAAACGCTGCGGGCTTGTTGGGTTTTAGCGCCTATAAAAAACTCTCTAGGGCTATGCGTGTGACTGCATATGGTATTCCTGCTGACTATGCCGACGAGTATCTTCGCATTGGCGAAGATGCTACAATTGAGTCATGATACGTTAATTTTGCATCATATTTTTATGTTGATATTTATTGTATTATGGACTGTTATTTCACTTTATAATACAATTCTTATGCCTTTTCTCTTTTATTTTATAAGTTTCACATAAAGAGAGAGATTGCCGGCAGCTGCAATTCTGGACCGGAAAGGGCTATATCGAAGGCATTTTTTGAACATCTCCAAATGAGCTGGAAATTGACGGAGAATTATTTTGGAATGTATTAAAATTATTAGCGAAAGAAGTACCAGAGGGGGACCCACCAGGCAGCCACAAGCCTGGGTGGGCCCCTAAGCTTGTGGTGATCCTGGCAGGCCTTCGGGGCCCATCTTCACCTATATGATGCCATTTGCCTTAGGAAAATCAGAAGGAAGGTTTTGGGACGAAGCGCCGCTCTTGAGGCGGAACTTGGGCAGGAGCACTTTTACTCTTCGGCGGAGCGATTCCGCCGGGAAAACTTCCCTCCGGGAGGGGGAAATCGAAGCCATCGTCATTACCAACGATTCTCTCATCGTGGAAGGACCAATCTTCATCAACATCTTCACCAGCACCATGTCATCTCCAACCCTAGTTCATTTCTTGTACTCAATTTTTGTCTCAAAATCTCATATTAGTACCTGTGGGTTGCTAGTAGTGTTGATTACATCTTGTAATTGATGCTTGTTGGTTTATACGATGGAAGATCATATGTTCAGATCCATTATGCTATTCAATACCCCTCTGATCTTGAACTTAAATATGTTTTGTGAGTATTTACGTTTGTTCTCGAGGACATGGGAGAAATCTTGTCATAAGTAATCATGTGAATTTGGTATTCGTTCGGTATTTTGATGATATGTATATTGTTGTTTCCCTTAGTGGTATTATGTGAACGTCGACTACATGACACTTCACCATCTTTGGGCCTAAGGGAATGCATTGTGCAGTAGTAATTAGATGATGGGTTGCTAGAGTGACATAAGCTTAAACCCTAGTTTATGCGTTATTCCGTAAGGGACTGATTTGGATCCATATGTTTCATGCTATGATTAGATTATTCTCAATTCTTCTTTCGTAGTTGCGGATGCTTGTGAGAGGGGGTAAGCATAAATGGGAGTCTTGTTCAAGTAAGAACATCACCCAAGCACCGGTCCACCCACATATCAAATTATCAAAGTAACGAACGTGAATCAAACAAACATGATGAAAGTGACTAGATGAAATTCCCGTGTGTCCTCAAGAACGCTTTACTTACTATAAGAGTTTGTTCCGGCTTGTCCTTTGCTACAAAAAGGATTGGACTTCCTTGCTGCACCTTTGTTACCATTACTATTACTTGCTTGTTACCAATTGCCTTGCTATCAAACTATCTGTTACCGACATTTTTAGTGCCTGCAGAAAATACATTGCTGAAAACCGCTTGCTATTTCCTTTTGCGCGTCGTTGGGTTCGACACTCTTACTTATCGGACTACGATTGATCCTCTATACTTGTGGGTCATCAAGTCAGGGTGCGTAGGTTTGCCAAAGTGATGATCCGCAGCTTTGGTCCTGTCTATCTTCGTGCACCCAATGAGGAAGACACAATAAAGTTAATGGCCACAAATGAGAAGCGAGGTTGGCCCGGTGTGCTAGGAAGCGTTGATTGCATGCATTGGACTTAGAAAAACAGCCCGAAGGCATGGCATGGGCAGTATTGTGACAAGTCTCATGATGC